TTATTTGCCTAACTAGAATTCTAGGTATAGTCTGAATTTAGGCAGTGCCATATTTACACACTAAAATAATATTACCCCTACTAAGAATCACTCTTAATCTGTCTTTCCCTTCTGATTCTCTGGATTAGATCTCAGGCAATCTGTTGACCATGAATGGTAAAGACAGTTATCACTAATTCTAGGCCTTTATCTTATTAGTCTACCAACCCAAGGAAAGAAATGTTTTACAATTATATGTCAAAAATGGCTGAGTAGGCCCAAAGAAACATAGGTCCCATGGTTTCCCTTATTTGCAATAACTAGTATAAGTCTGGGACAAGCAGAAAAGGTCAAAAGCTATGTACATATTACCAGATAAGGTTATTTTAGGTGAGATGAACCCCAAGATAGGGACACAGGTGGTTTTTTCTTTCTTGCTATTGTTTCTAATGTACTATATGTTTCTAATGTACCATGTGATTTTTTTGTTTCTTTGTATGTACTTCCCCCACGGTATAACCCCTGTTTTCACTGTATTTGATGTCGGTGCCCTGTATATACACTATTCTAATTTGGGGAGGGGAAGGGGAAAAACAAAATGCTTAAATAGGGATACAGGTTGACCCATTGTAACAATGAGATGCACAAGAAACTATGTTGAAAAACAAACTTTACAATCTAGGTGGGAGCGGGGGAAGTGTAGTTGGGTAACAATGCTTGGTAGGAAATGTACTCATTACCTTGTTCATGTAACTGTAACCCCTCTGTACAGTATTTTTACAATACAAATGTATTAAAAATGGCTGAGTAATGCCAATTTTATAGGTTTCAATCTAATAGTTCCAGACAAATTCCCAAGCTTAAAGCTCATTAGTTCCAGTTATATTTCACACTCATGATTGATCAATTACTGTGGCTACTGAAATATACTGCTCTCATTGGTCAAACCTAAGCTAGATGCCCACCCACTAAATTATAAAGGCAAAATTGACAGAAGACAAGATTTCTGAATGGAAAAGTAAGTTGCTATCATTAGAAAAGAGAAATAACAGCAACACACCAGGTGCTCCTTATCTTTCTAGAGACATGAAAGGTGGAGATTTTCCATGAAGGTGATGAAGCAGAAACTTCAGGGTGTTTACTTGCGTAGTTTTAGGTTCCATCTAAAACCACGGATTTAATATTGTATTGAAAAATGTCAACTCTTTTTCATAAAACATTTATCCAAATTGTACAAGCTTCAGGACTTACAAAACCTACATCTACCCCATTAAAAAATACAAATCCATATGAAACTACTTAAGACATGTTCTCAACATGTTCTACTCTCTTGTTTTTGGTGGAAATAAACCATTTATTGCATAGTTTATTCACTAAACTCTTCACAGTAACTTGATCTCATCATTTGACACTAACAGAAAATAACACGATCAACCCCTTTAGAGCTTCCCAGCTTCTAAATACATTTTTCTCTGTACCTGTACAGGCCCCTTTTCCCACCTCCTTAAACCTGCAAATGAAACCTATTCCCCAGTATCTCATGTCATGAGAGGCCAGACTAGGTCAAGGAGTTCATCTCTATATCCTAACATGAGAGCTTATAGCACCAAATTTGAAAAAATATACTGTTTGTTCACTCTCATTCTCAACTAGTATTTCTTGATATTCTTCATTTTTAAGTCCAAGTCAAAATAAATTCTCTGAATCAACAGAGGATATGTACAGAGACTATGAAATATAAGGTGTATCTCACATTAGGACATATCTGAGCTATGACCTTTGTCACAGCTGTATAACCTATTATCAGAGATGTGACAAAATTGGGTTTGGGTAAGTCTGAAAAGGTACCCTTGTAATTGAATTTCCAACTTTGCTTTACCCTTCTGCTTGGCAGTCAGACAGTCATAGGAATGTAAATTCATGCCTTTTTGAGTGTGGGGGAAGGTGAGGGAACTAAGCCTGCCTGCTGCTATTCTGATTACAGCATTTGTCGCTGTAAGAGACAGCTCTGGAATTGATGCTATTTTTCTCCCCTCTCAGGAAAATGGCTCGGACTGTGTATCAGGATAGGCCGAGGGGCACCTGCAAATGACAATTTCTGCTTAATCTCCCAGCAGGTGTCCAAGGCTGTAGTCTTGCCGACATGGCATTACAATTGACCTATTTAGTCCTCCTTCTTTCCCTTCTTCCTTCTTGTGCATGAAATATGGCATGGTAACAGGGCCGTTGCCATTGTGTTGCTGGGGTTTTTTTTCCTTTTCTTTTAATTTGTTGAAATTGTCTCTAGGCAGAAGAAGTAGGGGGTAGGAAACAGATGGTTAGCTGGAGTAGAAACCTACTACCCAGTAGTTCTGAAATACTTGAATAGTAGAAGTCCCCATTTCCTTGTAGAGAACGGATAAAATAAAAGAATAGTAATGAAAGATTTTCAGCAGACTAAGCTCCAGTGCCATGTTTCCTGTGTCAACGCAACTGTAAAAGATAGTCCCTTCTCCTTTTGGTTTCTAAATCATCATCAACCATTGGCCAGAACAGATCCACAAGGGAGAAATGATGATGATAAGTAGGATTTAAAATTACAAATGCGTATCTTTCATTTCACTTGATGGCCCCTGGCTCCTTGAATGTCTTCCTCCTGTCCCATCCACATCCTCACCCCTAGCAAATGCCGAATATTTGGTCAACCTATTTAAGATTGAAAACAAGAACAAGCATTAGGAAGTTGGTTAAGGGATAACCTCTCTTTCTATATTTGAGGAGTGGCAGCCAACAAACTGTTCTCTAGGCCATCTAAGCACCTAGAGGATAGCAGCACACAAAGGTAGTAGCACCAGCTGCTTCCTCCACTAACTAACCTCTGATAGAGAAAACGGATTGTCAGCCTCCTGTGAAGTAACATGCAAATGAAACGAAATATACAGATATCTACCTTTTAGATTTTGATTTTCCTCTGCAAACAAATGCATGATCCTCCCCCCCCCCCCATTCTGTTCTGCTTCTCCAGCAACAATGAGTGTCTTAGGGTCCAATTAATTCCTGTTACTAACTACCTAGAAGTGGCATCAGATTCAACAGGTTTCAGGGCTCATTGTCACAACTGAAAGCTTACCCTAACCTAGATGATCCCCAAGTTCCACCCTATTTAGGTATTTTTATGAAGACTTCTTTACATAACTACAACTGCTTAAGTAATTCACCACTGATAATATTGTCTCCCTTCTCTGAAGATGGAGTTTTAGGGCTGAAAGTTCCAAGCTTCTAACTAAAGTGCTTCTGGCAATAAGATGATCCTATCATCCTTAGTACTTGGGTAATATCTTAAGGGGGTTAAGAACTCCATGGCAGGAATCAGAAACATGGGCCAAATATATTTCTTACTATACAATATCACTCAGTATGCTTACCTGGTTAACTCTACCTTAACCTTCCTCAATACTTGGGTTCTCCCTTTTTGTCTACTTTCCACATCCCTTTAAGAGATTGCCCAGTAAAACCTCTGATTTGTTCTTCATAGACTTTTATGATTAGTGCTCCTGGGGCAGACTCCTTCATTTCTTTCCTCCAAACAAATATTCTCAGGGCATCAGAGGTGGATGTCTACTCCCAGAAGGACCTTACAAAGTCAGTGGATCTTAGGAAGCCAGTAGCAAAGCTAAGCTTAAGCATCTGAGGACATCACTCGTTTCCCTGCAGGCCTCTGAATGACACATGACCCAGAAAAGAGAGAAAAGGGTCCTGTGAGTGTCCCAGAGGGCTTTGGCTCTAACTTCTTCATAGTCTTAGAGCTGGATCTTAAAACTGAAATAGAAGGCCAAGAGTTTTACTAGTTCAAATGGGATGGGGACACAGATCAATTTGAGTGACTGTGAATTTGACTCCCATGAACAAAGACAGAAAAAAAGAAAGACAGAGAAAGACACAGAGAGAGAGAGAGAGAGAGAAACAATTCAGAGAATCAAGACTGTCCTTTGGTGTTAACAAGATTTTGTTTGAAGCAAAAGCCTCACTCCCTACTGTGTCTCCCCCCCTCCCCTCCCGCCTCCAGTCTTAAGACTGCCTTCAGATGAGTGTCAGATGGTGAGGGCCCAGAAGCCCACATTGGTTTATTTAAATAAATAAAAAAATCCATGTTTAGGTCCCAGCATGTGGCAATGTGCTCCACTCTGATGACACTTCTCGTTTCTAATAATAGAGCAGATGAAGTAATATTGCAATTGATGTTCCAGGGGATTTGATTGGCTAAGTGCATAAACTGTGGAGGGGAAGGAGGTTGTATGGCTGGATCACATTAGTATTCCTGTCCTATCAATGTGCGGGGCCGCGACCAACGTCAGCCAGACCCATTCCCTGCGTCTGCCAGTCCCGCCACAGATTCATTTGGGATCCTTAAACAGACGAGCCCATAGAGACTAGGGATCAAGACAGCCAATTAGGGCCAATTGCCTGCTGCTGGAGGGGCGGGAGGGTAAAGAGAGAGGGGTGGAGGGGGGGGAGCGGGGGGAGGGACAACCAGCCCAGCCAGGCCTGTCGACCGACGGTAGAGGGAGGGGAGAGACCACTGAGCGCCGCGGCGTGCAGACACGGAAGGACGAGCGACACCCCATCCCGCTCGCGGCTCCCCACACCTTTGCAAGCTGCACTCCCCGCACCCCCCCTCCCGCCACCCCCCATCTGAATGGAAACTCGGAACCGCCGGGCAGCGCGTTCCTCCTCACTTAGCCCGGCGATCCATGCCGAGAGGAAGGAGGTGCGAGCCCGCGCCAGCACCCAGCTCCCGGGACAGGGCCCGCAATGCTGCTGAGCAGAACTTGATCGCGCCCTCTCCTCGCTGCTAGGCGAAGCGATGCTGCACGGCCCGGCCAGCGCCACCCCGGCTCTCCTTCAGGCTGAAGGTTACCCAGCCGCGCAGCCAGCCCCAGCCTGGTGAAGCCGCCGGCGCGCCTCGGGTCCCGGCTCCGGCTGCTTGGCGGCGGCGGCGCGCAGGGCAACCACCGGGCCGCCCGCGCCGGGGCGCACTGCACCAGCGGGCTTCGGCTTGCTGGATGTGTATGCATGAGTTCTGCACCGAATGGGCGCAAAAAGCGCCCCAGCCGGTCCACTCGCTCCTCGATCTTCCAGATCAGCAAACCCCCGCTGCAGAGCGGGGATTGGGAGCGCAGGGGCAGCGGCGGCGAAGGCACCCACAAAACCCAACGAGCCCTGGACGACTGCAAGATGGTGGGTGAAAACGGCGCCTCTTTTCATTTTGATGTTTATTCCTCCGAGAGGGGGTGGGGTGGGGAGTCTTGCCTGTGCATCGTTTGCTTGAGTGCCAGCCACTCCCCACCCGCAGCTCCTCCGGGTCGATCACGTGCTCGTGTCCTATTTTTACATCTGCACACCCCCAGATTCGGGGTGACACCCAGGTCGTAATGACCCCACGGCCTCCTACGGGCTCTCGGGGAGCGCGAGCCCGGGGATGGGGTGCGGGGGGAGAGACAGAGGCTGTAGGTTGTGCCTCTAACACCCCCCTGCCCCCGGGAGAATGGTGGACAGGAAAGCCAGGGTGATACTGGCTCGCGGGGCGGGGAGAGGGGTGGGGGGGCTTGGAAAGCTGTGAAGGCAGCGTTGGAGTGAGACTGTAACAAACAGACCCAACCGAGCGCGCGGGGCGGGCGTCGCGCGGAGCCCACTGAGGTTTCCGCGCAGTGGCTGTGGCCAGTCTTTCCATCCTGTTTCCAAGCTGGGGAGGGGCGGGGGGGGGGGTGTTCAGGAACCCCCCGCTGGTGGTGACCGGTTTGTCAGTTGCCCCTCATATGGGGTCTTTTCCCCTCGGGCTACTTCCGATCCTTGTTGTAGCATTAGAGGGGGGGGGGGGGCAGAGGGCATCTATGCAGACAGAAGTGTCCAGCGTCTCTTTCTAGTGACCTGGGAGTGGCCTGCTAGCTCTCCAAATATGTCCTTGCTTTTCAGAAGCCGAGGCTCAGCCCGTAGGGGCAAGTAGTTCTGCAAATGGAGCTTCCATGGCCAGGCTTGCCGATGGAAAACAAACATTTGCTTCGGACAAAGACACTTGGCATCTTTGTGTCACGCTTTAGACAAGTCCTAGGCTCCTTAGCTGGAGATGTAGGGAGCTGGCTTGAGAGGTCAGTGAAGTCCCATTGATGCTCCACCACAATAGGAAACTTTTGTGACGACAAGTGTTTGGTGAAAGAAACTGGCTTCTTTTGCAGCTGGTCCAAGAGTTCAACACGCAAGTGGCCCTGTACCGAGAGTTGGTCATTTCTATTGGGGACGTCTCGGTCAGTTGTCCCTCACTCCGAGCGGAAATGCACAAGACAAGAACCAAAGGCTGTGAAATGGCCCGTCAGGCACACCAAAAGCTGGCTGCCATATCAGGGTAGGAAACCCGCGGCATTATTTGGTGATTTGTATATATGACGCATGTTATGTTGACCCATTGTTATGGTGGCCTAGGCCTCTGAGGTGATCTTAGCAAAACTGGGGTTCTAACCAATCACTCCGAGCTCAGAGATCAGGATTCTTTACAGAGATCTAAACAAACTATAGGTGAAATCAGAACCTGAAGGCTATGCTATTTTCACACACACACACACACACACACACACACACACATCGCTGAAAGATTTTGTAAAGAATAATTTTTAATCAGCTGGCTTCTTATTGGAATTTGGGGGGGCAAAGGGAAATGTTTGGTAATCTAGTTTGGTCATCAAGTAAAGTTAAATCATCTTGCTTTAAGGTTATATTTTCATCTGCTATGGAACAAAAGGCAAAATCTTTGCTAAAACCCACATTTACTAGACTTATATTTACTCATATACCATGAGATAAAATCCGTAAAATAAAATCTTAGCTACAACTTATTCTCTTTAATATGGTAAAAAAGAAAGGGAGGTTTGAAAATAAAAGTTTTTAACAAATTGGAGAATCTTCAAACCTATGCAAACCTTTTAATCACATTTTTTGATTCCCAGGCCAGGTGAGGTGATAATAGAGTGAAAATTCTGTCCTGAGACACTTATCTATTGTTTGATCTCAATATTGGAAGAAAAGTTAAAGATTTATTAACAGTTGCTATTGTCAAGCTGGGCACTTACAGCAAGCTATCATAAGGTCTTTGTGAACTTGTGCAATTTAAGTGCTTGATTCAGTGATGATACAGCCTTTATCTGCTTATCCATGTAAGGCTTTATAAAAATGGAGCTCATATCAGTGAGGATCAACTGGTAATGCTGCTCATTGATCACTTGTTGGAAACATCTAATTTCTCCTTGCCATCTTTCATGCATTGACTTTAACTAATATACAGTTTACATATGGTGCTTTTCTTAAGAAATACTTCACATTTGACAACAGGCATTTCATATCATGAAAAAAATCCATCTACCTAATGTCCTTGAAGTAAGGGATTAAAAATAGGTTACAAAACTCTTTGAGTTAGCGGTAATATAGAGAAACTTGATCTTTTCCTAACTGTTACCCTGTATTTAACAGGAAGTAAATTTGGAAAGTAAACAGGAAGTATTTCCAAAAATACAGCTGTGATAAACTCCAGATACCTGAAGAAGAAAATAAGGAGAAGCATAAAGGAGAATCTTGATAAATAAAAATGTATAGAAAAATAACCCCAAAGGAGAGTATAGGAAAATTGATGTTGGGCTGAAAATTGGCATCTCTGAAACCTTTGTGCCCAAGAATGTAGAAAGGGGTCATATCCAGGATCGCTTTAAGTTGAAACTTAAGATGAGGGCAAGTCTCCTCAGAGAAGGAGAACAGAAAAAAATGGGTTTATTTTGCTGTATGCATGAAATATAGCTCTTGTAAAGGAACAAGCCTAAAATTATTGACTAAAAGTTAAGTTTTGAAGATATGAGGTAGATTATATTTATGGTGGGTTTTGCAGCCCTTCAATGCTTGCTTACTTCCTATCTGACCGTAAATGTTAAGGGATGAGTTTTAAAAGAACTAGTGGGGGAAGGATGGTGTTCTTAGATCTTTGCACAGGTGACATGAAGTCCACAAAATGGTCTAGGATAGAATTTGACACATTTTTCCTTTAAAAATTAATTAAATGAAGCTTTGCGTTCTTTATAAACAATGACAGCAATATAATGAAAGGAAATGCCTTTAGTTCCTCACCATCTGGACTCCATTAATGAAGGATGTGATTCCCTTTGGTGGAATTCTTTTTCTGATATGGTTTGTTATAAGGGTTCTCATTTCAAGCTTGGTGTGAAGGCTGGTATGGAGACTACAAGATTCCCTTGAAATACCAGGGGTCAGGAGAGCCAAGGTTCTTGGGGAAAGTAGATAGAAAGCCTACATTTCTTGAATGTGCACTATTTGCTTTCACAATCCAGCTAATTAACAGATTTAACAGCTAATTAAGTGTTAATAATGTTAACATATGGATAAACTTTAAAGAAAATAGATTAACTGAAAGAAGTCACACAATGCCACATATTATCTTATCTGTTTATGAAATGCCCAGAAAAGTTAAAGATATAAGGACAGAGAGTAGATTAATGTTATTTTTTTTCTGGTACTGGTGATAGCAGTTAGTTAATGAAGATGAGCACAAAGAATGTTTTTATTTGCTGCTGTTTGTGTTTATTTTTCTTTTTATTATTAGAATTTTATTGTCTGTAAGTAGTTGTTCAAAGGAGTTACAATTCAGCATGCCAGTTTTTTAGAATACAGTATCTTGATCAATGTCACTCCTTTCACTCTGCTATCTCTCCCAGCCCCACCCATTCCCTCAGTTTTCCTCGTTATATTTTCACATACATACATTGAATATTATAACTGCATTCTCTGATGGCTTCTCTCTTCATTTGTCTATCTTTCTCCCCCTGACATCACCTTAGCCCCTAAAATTACAAGTTCCACATCCCTGCTATTCATTTTGTTAGGGTGAAAGTTAGTTGTTCAAAGGAGTTATACCGCTGGAATTCTCATGTGCATATACCATACATTATGTTCTGAAGAATTTTCTAGATAGAAATTTCCCCAAGGGGTATGAAAGGCCCTGTGCCTGTATACCTTACAACCTATATAAACATGTAAATGTTTAAAAGTAGCTAAGTTTAAAATATTTTCTTTGTGTAAGACAGCCCAGACTTCATAAAATTTGCATAAGACTCCCAGAATCTCAAGCTTTATTCTGGTAAAGGCTGTGTGACATTGGACAAGTCTGTTGAATTCCCTATACCTTGAAAAGAGAGGATTAGATTGAATACCTTCGCAGTCTCCTGCCTTTATCATGCCGGTATTCTACATTAATTGATGTGGAATCACACAGATTTTTGTTTACAGAACTGAGCTATGAAAAATGAGAACCGCACAGGGAGCTTGATAATTAAATTCCAAAAATAATTGATGGTATCTGAACATATACTTCATTCACAAAAGGAATCTTCCTTTCTCAGTGGCTTTGGAAAGCAATGACACAGATATCCTAGAGATATACAAGTACAGATATTAGATTTTTGCCTGCTAGCAATAATTTCTGGACCAGCCAGGCTTATGTTTCTCTCCTTTCCCACCACCCCCCTCCTGCCACCCATTAGTCTGTTTTGATCTTATTTCTTTTCTACTCAACTTTTTGGGCTCTATGATCTCCAGTCCTACGTCTCACTGGTTAGAAGTTGGGAAGCAGGAGGAGGAAGGAAGAAAGAATAGAGAACTCCCCCTTTTGACCCCGTATACAAGACCACCGCAGTTTCATGGGGTGGGATTGTGAAGAAGAACTTGAAAGCCATAAAGGCAGCTCTCCCAGCTTTCTTTGAACTATAAAATGAAGCAGATCTTAAGTAGGCAGATACCTGCGGTTCCATGGAGACATGTGGTTGGTAGACATACCAACTCTATCCTTTATTTTCATTTCCTATGGATGACTGGTATTTTATGGATGCAGGCATCTCCAGCATTTCCCTGTATGTCTATGTTGAATTTTCCCCTTCATACAAGGACAACAGTCATATTGAATTAGGAGCCTACTGTATTCCAGTGTGACCTCATTAAAATTTATTATACCTGCAGTGAGCCTATTTCCAGAAAAGAGTCACCTTCTAAGTTACCAGGAATTAGGACTTTAACATGTGAATTTGAGGAATACATAATTTTACACACAACAGAATACCTTGTGCTGTTTGCAGCATAATGCACACTTAGGGTTCTTTTTGCCTATAGGAGAGGTAGGAAATCAAGGTGCACTTTTGCCTGGGGCCTTCTATAACCTCCCTCCACACATGCACAAAAAGATGTCTTACGGCCTGTTGCAAGATTACAGTTTATCTTAGCAGTAGAGTTTTTGATTATGGGAATAAAATATTTCTTGCATGGAAAGGATACATTCACAAAGGTACTGAATCTCCATTCATGGCTAGCACTTCACTCTGAACAATCTAACTGGCTGTCTCAGAAGGTGGAACAGAAGCATAACTAGAAGGGAGGATACTGGGCAGAGTCAGTAAAGCACCTAATGGTCCATACATGGAGCACCACCCACTTTCTCTGCAGGACTGAAAGGACTGAGAAGATGATACTCTTTCTGTGGTGATAATACTATTGCATAGTGACCACAAGCATGCACTATAGCAAGTGACCAGGTACTGTACTGAAGCACATCAGATTTAAAAAGGGCCACTAAGCTCAGTGTGATAGGGAACCTAGACAATTGTTTTCCTATTGCCTTGAAGTTTTGCCTCTTCATTTGGAACAGATCTATTGACTTGTACCTGGTTAGTGTTTTCTTAATAGATGTTCCAGTGAGAGAAAGAAAGAGAGAGAGAGAGAGAGACCTAAGACAAACTTTAGGAAACTACACTATCACTTTATTATTTAAATGAAAAAGCTCAAGGGAGTAATTTTGTGTTTTATTCATCTCTGCATTCTGAGTGGTAAGCTCAGTGATGGCATGTAGATCTTGTTTGTTCACTAAATTTATTTGGTATTTTAAAGTTATGTACCTAAAGTGAAAACTTTAGTAAGTCATAAGATATAATATAGGTATATATTATGTACACATACACACATAATCTCTCTCTATACACACACATACACATACATATACTATACTTGTAAAATCAGCTTTTTTATTGGGATAAAGCACCCAAGCTTTTACATAGAACTGATTTAGTAAATAAATGTCTCTGGTCTATGGGAAGATCAGACGAAATCAGATTTACAAAAAAATCAACCTAACATTTGTAGCTATAGACAAATAGTATGCTAATAGTCCACCCTAGTTTCACTGAGTTAAGGCAAAGGGAGATAGACACACTATCCCAGAAAAAACAAACAAACAAACATACTTCTAGTGTATTATTCACTTACCAAAGTTATCTTAATGTTCCCCGACTCAGAATCCCTGAG